AGGCTTAACCACTGAGCCACCCAGGTGCCCCCCCCCCAAGTCCATTTTTAAGAGGAGCAATCTATCTAGAATAATCAGTTGGGGGGGCGCCTGGGTGGCTCAGTGGGTTACAGCCTCTGCCTTCGGCCCGGTATTGGTCCCGGGGTCCTGGGATTGAGCCCCGCATCAGGCTCTCTGCTCAGCAGGGAGCCTGCTTCCCTTCCTCTCTCTCTGCCTGCCTCTCTGCCTAGTTGTGATCTCTGTCAAATAAATAAATAAAATCTTTAAAAAAAAAAAAAAAAAGAAGAAGAAGAAGAAGAAGAATCAGTTGGGCTGCAGGCTGGGTCCATAAAGTTCCTGAATGAGTCTGTACGAACTGTTTGATAGTAATGGGATAGGAAGGGATACTTGGTTCAAGGCTTCCCACGGATTTTCAGAGGGGAACTGAGGCCCCCCAAACGTTAAGAACCACTGACCTATGAATCAGTTTATAAGATTAGCAGTTCATGTCGTTTATCAACGTGAAAGATGAAATGTTTGGGGTCTGAAGTCAACCAAGAGGGTTCAAATCCCAGCTCAGAAGGTGAGTAAGTGACCTTAGGCCTGTTTCTTCATCTCCCTATCCTATCCTACCTCTTAAGGCTGTGGGGAGACTTCAAGGGCATCAAGCATGTCAAATGCTTAGCACCGTACTAGCCACAAGTACTCACCAAATAAAAAGGCTTATAACAATATTGCTACTGAACAAAATGTATTGCTGGGTCCATAAGGCTTAGCAGTCTCTCCATGTAACAACTTGTATGTGAAACATTGATAAAACTGTTCCAGAACTTAAAATGGATACACTTTACATTTGCTACTGTGCTCGGTGAACCACTCAAAGTAGCACAGGTCTTACCGAATGCATGCAGACTTTAAGGTCACTACATCTGTTCTTCCTTATCACTCCCTACTGGGCTTTCCATCACCAATAGAAAGACAAAATTGTCCCTTGTTACTCAAATACTTCATGGTGTCTTTACTTTAGAAAGTGATCTCTGAGTTCTAGGCCAGTAACTACCATGCCTTGTTTTGTATCAAAGCTAGGTTTTTAATGCACTTTACTCATTAGATGACATTCTGATTCATTCATCTGTTACCTTTTGCTACTTCCCTGGAAAGAACAAAAGTTAGCACTGCACAAGGGACAAGAAGAAACTAGCAAGGTCCTAACATCATATACCTTTTTTATATAAAAAGCAGTATTCAGGGGCGCCTGGGTGGCTCAGTGGGTTAAAGCCTCTGCCTTCGGCTCGGGTCATGATCTCAGGGTCCTGGGATCGAGCCCCGCATCGGGCTCTCTGCTCTGCGAGGAGCCTGCTTCCCTCTCTCTCTGCCTGCCTCTCTGCGTACTTGTGATCTCTGTCTGTCAAATAAATAAATAAAATCTTAAAAAAAAAAAAAAAAAAACACAGTATTCACCATTGGGGGGGGCTCTTTTTTGATTTACCCCCTCAAAAAAACCCCACACATAGACATTAGGTATTAAATGATTAATTTCTTGGGGCACCTGGGTGGCTCAGTGGGTTTAAACCTCTGCCTTCGGCTCGGGTCATGATCCCAGAGTCCTGGGATCGAGCCCTGCATCGGGCTCTCTGCTCAGCAGGGAGCCTGCTTCCTCCTCTCTCTCTGCCTGCCTCTCTGCCTACTTGTCATTTCTGTCTGTCAAATAAATAAATTTTTAAAAAATGATTAATTTCTTGTAACTATAGGCTTAAAAAGTAAATCAGAGAAAGAAGAAAAACTGCTGAGAGGAAACCTCTTTCAGACCAATTTAAATGGCGAAAAATTAGTATTGTCATGCAAACTAAATTATACTAAGCACTGAGGGAAAAAACTCAAATGTGCATGTATGCTAATTATACACACTTTTTTTTTTAAAGCAAACAGCTACAGGTTTGAATGTTATTGAGTACATTTTGCTTTCATGCTTAATTTCACCTACTTATATGACAAACAAAATTAATCTCCCAAAGAGAGACTTATAATATAATGAACTTACAGGGAATTACCTTTTAAAAAAATCATGTGATATAAAGGAAAGGACAAATAAGTCATCACTCAACGGGTCAGGCTAAGAGTCACCAATTTGCTTAGTTATTATAAACCCATTAACACTTGGATTCAATTTACTCAGAATGTTTAGCTGAAGCCGCAGGAGGACTTGAAATCCCAGAAATTTATCAGAAATCGTCTAATTCACAATTCAACTCTCTTACCTCAAAGATGAAGAAACTGAAACTCAGAAAACTTCAATGGCTTTTGAAAAGTCAAAAGCTATTTGATTTTTAGGAAAAGCTTAAAATGGTTGATGTGTTGCTGTTTCGGGTTCATTTGCATCCAAGAGTGTACAATTAATTCCAGGAAAAGCTAATTTTAGTCGGCTATGGCTCTGGAACCGGGAAAAGAACATCCCTGTACCCTAACAAATGGTGAAAGAAGACAGAGCTACAAGATCAAGTCAGCTGTAATTCAGAGCCCAAAACTCACCCACCACTACCCACACCAGAGTTTAGAAACTATTTTAGGAAATGTCTCTGCAATACATTATACATTAAAGGAAAAATAGCCAAATTGATACTTGAAACCACTGGTCTTCAACTTCTGGTGTACATGAGAATCACCTATGACTTCTTCCAAAATATATTTCCAGGGTATCCTTGAAGACCAAATATGTAGGGTCACCTACTACGAAGCCAGACATCTGTGCATGAAGGTTCTGGTGAACATTACTGCTTTGAGATCTCTTGTTCCCCGCATTTTCATTATTCGGTAAACACTACATAGACAGGTATGTGTCTGATTTGTCCTAGTAAGACTCCTCAGTTTCAGCTCACAACTGAAACCAAGCATGCACAAAAGGCATCAGGTTACACCGCAACAGCAGCAGTCCAGGATATCTTTGCTCTTAGCCCAGGGAGGGAGAGTACAACTGAGTCACAGGACTTGACACACTCCAGCTTAACCGAGATAAGTGAGAAAGCTGTAGCCGCCTAAGAATTGAACTAGGAATTTAGAAACATACCAAGTCTTTATGACACCAGGAAATGCATGAAGTGAAGCAAGCTTACATCATCTACCCTTCCAGGCACGTGATGCAAGAGCATTTTGGATAAGATATTAACTTTAGTAAGAGGATATTTTCATTTTACATCTTCTATAAATAGCCCTTAAGTTTACACCAGGTGATTGGAGGAAGATTCTGCAGCTCCCCAGGGCAATAGCGAAGAATGTTTCAGTGTTTCTGAGGAGCCTCATTTGCCTGATGCATGACTGTTACAGGGACATTTCCCTGCACAACCTTAAATCAGCTTTCGTATTTGCATATTCCAGGTTTACTCAGGAATGTTCAACTTAAGAATCACAGGTGGTTGTTCAGTAAATCAAGGGCTCCCGGAAGATTCGGTTTTATGATGCTTCCTGAAATTTACAGCTCCACTTTGCCAGCATGTTTGAATTCAGATGACTCCAAGTTGATCCCAAAATTATAAATCAAAGTATCTCAGAAGAGTATTATTCTATTTTAGTACTTTTACAGCTTACTCTGTGTAAAGTGAAGTGCTATTTCTATGCTTTCCATAAAAAAACCCAGCAAGGATTTTAGTGGGCCTTCTTTCTGCAGTAAACGCATCAGTTTTACAAAAACATCAAACACTTGCCAGCCTAATTTAGACTAACATATTTACAAGCACAACACTGCGATCCCAAACAAGGCTAGAGTGTACATGCACCTACAGCTATATACCTATACAGCTAAGGTATAGAAGCTGATGTACCCCTCTTCAAAATTACACACACACACACACACACACACACACGCACGCACGCGCACAGGCACTTGTGCACAAACTCTGGCCAACTGATTAACAGAATGACAGGCTGGCTTTGGTCAAATAACAGATAAATGAGAGTATAAACAGATGAATGTGAGTGTAAATCATGACAGGCGCACCGTCTTGGAACCCTCAGCATAGCCCCAGACCCCAATTCCAGCCCTGGCTCAGATAAACGCAGGGGTGTGACCTTGGGCAAGTAACCCTAATCTCTCTGGGCCTCAGTTTCTTGACCAGGGAAATGGAGGTGTTAACAGTGGCTGCCTCTTCCCTTTGTCGCAAGCACTAAAGGAGATGATGACTGCAAAGCGCTTCCCAATGAGTACTCCAGACACGGAGCTGTTGCTATTAGGGGGGCCGCGCCCCCTCCCGAGCAGTCCCACCCCCAAATCCAAAACACACGAAGCCAAACTCTTCAACAGGAAACACAAAGAGCTTTAACTCTACAAGCTCTCCCGGACTGCGGGCTCTTCATCTCCAGTTCCTCAAATGAATGAATGAGCGTCTAGGAGTGGCTCTGCAAACAGCTGTCTCTTGAGGCTCCCCTCTGCTGACTTTAAGGTAACTGTCTTTCACCAGCAATTAAACACCCACAAGCGCACCCGGAGAGAGGCCCCTAGTCCTGCCAGTTTCAGCGGGGACACCGAGTGCAGGCGAGTCTCCGATGCCCACAGGCAGCCTCCATTCATTCTCCTCCCCACCCCTGACCCCTCTCCTGAAGCCCCAGAACCAGCCGCCCTCCCCCCATCGGCCCTTACCCTCCGGACAAGGGTCCCTCCCCTGCCCCCCGCACCCCGCGAGAACCTGTCACCCCACCAAGTGAGGGGCTGGCGAAGGGGCCCACCTCACCCCTGCCCTCGGCACGGCGCCCCGGGGGTGCAGCCGTCCCCTCCGCCGCCGAGGAGGGGCGAAGTGCGGGCCCGGCCCGCCTCTCCTCCGCAGGGACTCGCCAGCTCTGCGGGGCCCCGCCAGAGATAGCGCGTAATAAGAGGGAGGGGAAAGCTCTCCGAACACCCCTTCCCGGGGTTCCCTCGCCAGCAAGGGAGCCCCTTGCCCCAGCCCCTCGGGGCCTCCCAGACCGGGGTCATGGTGCCAGGGCTGCCCCGAGAAGCCCCCATGAAAAGAAGGGGGAGACACCCCCATACTCACCCACCGTCTCCTCCCCCTCAGCTGTTTACCTCACAGTTCCTCCAGCCTACAGGGCGCCGCCATCTTGGACGTACAGCACCTCCCCCCGTCGTGAAATGTCCACGGCCGCTGCAGCCTCCGCCACGAAAAAGAGTTCCCAGTTGGGTCTCGCCTGCCTCTCGACTCCAGTGACAGATGACCGCAGCCGGCAGCCCCGTTGGACGGAAGAGGCCGTCCTGTTCATTACTGATAATGCGGGTCAGTCGAGAAAGGACCCAGGAGAGTTTGGAAGGCAGGGGGGCGGGGACGGGCGGAGGGATCCCGAAAGGAGGCCGCTGAGAGATCTTGTGACTCCGAAGGAGGCGAAAAGAAGGGCCGGCGCGGCGGGAGGAGCCACGCGAGGGAGCGAGGGGCGGGGCGAAGGTCACGTGCCAGGCCCGGCGGGAGGGGCCGTGCAAGAGGCGTAAACAAGGTGGCGGGGCTGGGTGTGGTTGGGGTGCCTGCTGCCTCCTTGTCCCGCGCGGTTCCTGCCCTTGCAGACCCGGGCGCCCCCCTGGGGTCTCTCTCTGCCCCGCCGCAGAGATGCGAGCCTGTTTCCCAAAGAGCCACTGGGGCCCGCGTGGGTGAAGGGTCCGCCTTGGAGCTTTGGAAGAGTGGCAGCTCGCCCAGGCAAGGAGGGAAAACAACACCGGGGCAGCTTCTTTCCTTTGCAGAATATTTGCGGGAACCCGCCTTGCTAACACTACAACGTGGTCACCACAGCTGTGGGAAAGAACTACCCCGTTCAGAGCAGACAGTTTTAAAATAAACAGCCTTAATTCCGTTCCTTCTACTTAGCTATGTGAACCTAACAAGTCCGGAAGCCCTCAGCCTCAGCTTCTTCTTCTGTAAAATGGGCCGATAGCCTTCCTGAAGTAAGGATTCGAGTCCCGCGCACAGGAAATGCTCAACAGGTGCTGTTCTTCGTCAGAGGCGAGCGCGGTAAGCGCTCTGACCGATACAAACAGAGTGAGAGAGCAGAGGGAGAGATGAGTCTAAGGTGGGTTTTGAAAGGTTTTTTGAAGGAATGGGCATCTGCTGGAGTTTTCAAGGAAAGATAGGTTTCTGTGACATGGAAATGGAGAGGGAAGGAAAGGAGTTGGAAGGAAAAGGGCATTTCAGGCCAAAAGCACCAAGGAATCAAGAGCCTGGAGGCAGCAAATGCTGGGTGACTTAGGGGATGGCAGGTTTTGTCATGGGAACGAGTTGGGTCACAATGCAAGTCAGCCTGTGATTTTAGGGGCCAGGTGCCAGACACCACAGTGGGTGCTGTCAGAATTCCAAGGGGCCTAGCAGGGTCCTGAGTAGGGCGGCTGCTAGCTTATATGGCAGCGCCTTTGTGAGAATTAGAGACACCCCTTCTGGGCCCACAGTTCATGTGAGCAGAGCCCAGGATGCATTTCAGCTCCTACCCTCCCACTCCTAACCCTCCTGGAGGCCCTTGTACAGTGCACAACCTTTATAACCATGCTGACTTACAGGGGAGATAGGCATTGAGCTGGGGATTCATCCAGTCTAACGTGGTGAAGGAGGCCTTGGGGGCAAAGCCAAGGGTTCTTGATTCAAATTTGAATGTAGGTTTCTGCCACTGTACCAACTAAGTTAGCGTTAGTTTTCCTCGTCCACAGCATGGAGAATAATAATGACTGCCTAGTTGGGATTTGAGGCTGAATCAGTGAGACATGAAGACATAACTAGGGTAAAACCTGCTTCAATACATGTTACTTTTGTTCCTGTGTTCATTGCGCTCGTGGCCAGCATCCATCACTCCCAGGACCGGGTCCACCAAATGCTAAATTCTGTGTAGCCACCGGAGCACAATCAGCTTGGGGTCCAGAGATAAAAAGGTTGGGGGAGATTGGGAAGGATCTGATTTCTCCCAGTTCCGCCAGTCCACAAACCATTTTACAGGAATGGACTCCTGCCTTTGTATTCATACCAGGGCAAGGACGCAAGTACATTTGGAGATTTCTGAGTCTGGTGATTAGAGTGCTCAGGTTAGGGGTGGAGTCGGGGGGCCAGGCACTGCTCCAGAGCTCTGACCCAGGAACCTCCCTCCCTACCCCCAGTTTTCCTTGGCTCTCTGACCTCATCCTGCTGGAATGTTCTCCATGGAAGGGAGCAGTGATCCATGGAGCTCATCAACTGCTGGCCCTCAAGGGGGCCCTAACCACATTCTTACTGTTTATACAGTGTCTGGAAGAAGAATGGTAATTGTTCTCTCAATATGGACCACCAGGGGTTTGAGAGAAGAGGCCAGAGAGAACAGGCAGAGGCAGTCCGGCCACCATCCCTTGCCACTCTCAGTTTGGGCTGCCTGGATATTTTCTCTTTCTCTGGGATTAAGTTTTGTCATGTGCTGAATAAATGTTCATGAGACCACCACCTTCCAGGCGGCACCCTGGAGCCTCCTTGTGGCAGGAGCTCCCCAGCTGGGCTTTCTCCACCAGTCGAGGTCCGCCTGTCTCAATGTGACAAGAAACAAAGGAGCTGAGCCCGTGTTGGCAGGGGGTGCTGCCTCTATGCATGTGATAGACCTCTACTACACTTGTCTGGGCAGCGTCTCCCCCTCCCCTTCCTGGGGCCACCACAGCACCACCCTCAAGCCACAGGCACCTGGGCCCAGCCTAGCCAATCGCAGATCCCCATCCTCTAGCCAAAGTGGTTGGCTGTTGGACATGTGACTTGAGCTGGACCAATCAGGGTGCTTCCCTGGGTCTCTATATGGATGCGAAAAGAGAGATTGTGTCTTTCCCATTGGGTCACTAAACCAGGGTGAGGAAGCTGTGACCCTCCACTTCCCCGTGTCCTACATCAAGCCCTGAGAGAAGTCCAGCCAACAGACGGAGAAGACCTACATGGCAACAGTGATAGAGATGGAAAAAGAAATCTGATTTGCTATCTCCTGAGTTTTCAGAGTCCCCAGAGGCTGGATTTGCGCTGGCCTCCCAAGTGCCATGAGGCAACAACTATTTTGGTCGATGCTGGTTTTGGGTACAGGTTTCTCTCTTTTGCAAACAGAAGGCCTCCCAGGTGCAATGAGATCTGAAGGCCTTTGGAAGGACACCACCAGTACAAAATACTCCTCCCTCATCCGCTGGCGTGGTCCTCTTGCATGGCCTTTCAGCCCCTCGCTGTCTAGCCCTGTGTCCAAAAGATGAAGACAATACATGTCTACACTACACACCTATATGACTCTACACCTATGTATGCATGTACTTTTATATAAATGGTTTATGTCTCGATGGCAATCTGTCTCTTACTTTTTCCCCCCACTCACCACTGTTTTGAATCTCATTGCTTTGTGTTCATGTAGCCAGTTGCTTTAAACTGCTGACAATTATTCAGTGATGCAGATCTAACCTGATCTACTCCACTCTCCCAGGGAATAACAGCCACAGCCCCACCAGAAACAACACCATGAGAAACATCACTGTCCTTGTTCCCTTATGGATAGGGCTGAGAATTTGGGGGGGGATGCATATTCTAGGAGTAGAACTGGTGGACTGACTGACTGTTGTTGTTGTTTTTAGAGAAATTGTTTTAGCTTTATTGGGATATAATTGGTATCCAAGGAATTGCACACATGTAATTGTCTGTATCCAGATGCTTGTGGACATATGCATACAGCCGTGATACCATTGCTACAACCAAGGTACTAAACATATCCATCACCTCCAAAAATTTTGCACCGACTTACCACCAAATTGTTCCCCAGAAGGACTGCCCCAGTCTACTCCCACTAGAAGTCTGCGGCAGTGCCCACTTCCCTGCCAACGCTTGGCATCGACTAGCTCTTTCCTTTTTTCAGCATAATAGGGCTATAGTGACATGTTCTTGTTTTAATTTACCTTTCTCTATTAGTGAGATAGAGCATTTCTTCACATTCTTGTTAAGCTTGTGGGTTTCTTCCTCTATAAATTGCTGATTCTTATCTTTCGGCCATTGTCGCAGCAGAGTTGGTAGAGTTACTGTCTTTTCCGTGTTGATCTGTGGGAGCACCCCCCTGTTCTAGCAACGTGCCCCTTGTCGGCTATAGATATTCCCTGTGTCTACCCCAATCTGTTGTCATCCTAATGACTGTATTGTACTTTGTTGGAAAGGAGACATTAATCCTGATGTTATCAAATTCATCTCCTTTTTTTTTTTTTTTTTGAGACTTATTCTTTGGGTTTTTGAGGTTTTGTTTAAGAATGCCCTTTCCACCCCTTGTCCTGGTCAGGAAGGAAAACTGGCCGCCAGTGTGCAGCACAAAAACCAGGTTGTTCAGTGAGGCCAGAGAGGCCCAGAAGAGTGGGGATCCTGGGTCTACAGCCCAGCTGTATGGCCTGGAGGAGTCGCTGAACGAGTTCAGTTTCTCCAGCCAGAGATGGGGATGACGCCCATACCTTAACCACCTGCTTCAGAAGGTTGCTGGGACAGTGCAGCATGAGACCCAAAGCACCTGCCACAGTGTGGGCGTCAATAAACATTGTTTTTGCTCTTACCTGCTGTATGAGTGTCCTCAGCTGCCCTACCAAATTACCGTGAGCGGGGGGCGGGGGGGGGGGGGGGGGGGGGGGGGGGGGGGGGGGGTGCTGAGAACAGTGGAAATGTATTCTCTCACTGGCCCGGAAGCCAGAGTCTGAAGTCACAGTGTGGGCAGGGTTGGCTCCTTCTGGAGACTCTGATGGAAACTGCATTCCATGCCTCTCTCCAGCCTTGGGATGGTGCGTCAGACTTTGACATCTGTAGCAGGGTCACTCACTTCCCTCCTTCTGTCTTCGTGTGACCTTCTCCCTGGGTGTCCTCACATGGCCCTCTTCTCGGTGTGTGTCCGCTTCTCTTCATACAAAGACACCCGTCATTGGATTTGGGGCCCACATTAATTTAGCCAGTATGATTTCATCTGAACTGCACTGCATCTGTAAAGACCCTCTTTCCAAACAAGGCCACATTCTGAGGGTCCAGCTAGACATGAATTTGGTGGTGGTGGTGGGGGGGACACTATTCAATCCCCCGTGCCTGCTTTTAAGGAGCACAGAATCCAGTGATGAGAATC